TATCATCATCATCACCACTATCATCATTGTCAATAACTTCATCATTATTACCATCATCATCTCCATCATCATTATCATCATCATCACCACTATCATCATTGTCATTAACATCATTATTATCATCATCATCGTCATCATCATTACCACCATCTTCATCATCACCATCACCACCATCATCACCACCACCATCATCATCATCATAATTAGTTATCATCATCTTCATCTTCATCATCACTATCATCATTGTCATTAACATGATCATTATTATCATCATCATCGTCATCATCATTACCACCACCATCATCATCTACATCACCACCATCATCATCATCATCATAATTAGTTCTTATCATCATCATCTTGATCTTCATCATATATCATCACCATCATTCATCATTAATCAAAGCAATTAATGTTGATATCTATTCTTTTCTTTCTTAGTTAAAGCTAAAAGAGAGAGCATCGCAAGATGAGGTAAGAGTGCGTCAAAGTAATCAAAGTCAATTAACAATCAATTTTCATTATGTTCTTTCAAGTCTGATAATTTACTATTGAATTATCTTGAAGGTAATAACAGATATCCAAGCAGCATTCCGTGGTCATCTGGCCCGTAAAGACAGATTAGACAGATTCCACTCAGATTCTATGGATTCTGATGACGCCATCATCAATGTCCAATCAGCAATGAGAGGACACTTGACGAGATCAAGAAACCGAGAGGAGCCTGAGGATGAGTGGCCAGGTTACAAAGCACCCGAAAGGTTGGTAGATTTATTTATTATTATTATTCAATTATTATTTATTAAGGTAGGTTCTTTGGAGATGTCTGTGTGGCTGAATAGACCCCTTTCGAATTCCAAATTACAGCTGTGTTTCTTGATTACAGACTCATTTGCACAGGGTTAGCCTCGAGTTTGTGCAGAATATTCACGTGTTCCAGTCAAGGTCCGTCAAGTTTCAAAATGTTTGTATTGTTGAAGTTGTGCATTCTTTACTTTTCTGTTGGTATTTGTGAATATTTAAACACTGATACGAGGCTAACCCTGTGCAAATGAGTCTGTAATCAAGGAACACAGCGGTAATTTGGAATTCAAAACTGGTCTATTTTACAGAGAAATTAATTAAGTCATTACTGTTTTTAGGATCAACCATGAGGCTTCAGACAATGCAGATGATGATGAGGATGATATTGTGATTAGAAGATCTTCGTCTTACAACAAATCTCCTTTCTCATCCAAGAAACGATCTAAATTTACAGGTATGATCTATCATATAAGGCAAACCTTGATACTACTATCCCTATTACTATTACCACCAGTATATTATTGTATAATAATATAATATCATTGTAACATAGTATGATAATATTTATATATATATATATACATATTCATGCTTGCCGACTACATCATAGTTATTATCTGCATGAGACATCACTTAATCGGAGATGAGTAGCCAGAACACAAGTAACCTAACCACCCAACCTGTGACTTATTCTGGCTGCAAAAGAAGCATAAGAGCAAATCATTTTCAGTTATGGTTATGGAAGCTGATCATCCATGTCCCACTTCTGACACCATCAGTAATAACAGGATAATGAATGTAGATGAATATGGACTAACCCATACACCAACACAACCATGTCCCACTTCTGACACCATCAGTAATAACAGAAGAATGAATGTAGATGAATATGGACTAACCCATACACCAACAAAACTATGTCCCACTTCTGACACCATCAGTAATAACAGAAGAATGAATGTAGATGGATATGGACTAACCCATACACCAACACAACCATGTCTCACTTCTGACACCATCAATAATAACACAAGAATGAATGTAGAGGAATATGGACTAACCCATACACCAACACAACCATGTCCCACTTCTGACACCATTTTAAAGTCAGAATTGATTTTGATTGGTTGATACTTTGATTTCCCAGCTTATTCAGCATCTCCCAGTCTCTCTCTCCCACAACCAACCCCTCGCACCAAATCCCCACCACACCCTGCACCTCGCACACTTAAAACACCGGATAGCACCCCACCATCACCTGCACCCAGACACAAGGGGAGAACTGCAGAGGTTAGACCTCCAGAGTCTGTATCAGACAACAGTGTTGACAGTGATGATGATAATGTTGTCATTGGAGGCTCGTCTCTTGCACGTAAGGGTAAGCACTTGATTGCACCTTAACTTGTAATTATTAGTTACTGTTGTACGCACGGCATTGCAATTGTTTGCAGCTCTTGTACCATTGATTGCAAACTGTCTTAGTAGGCTAACAAACCTGTGGGCCTCGTTTCAAGATCAAATTGTAATTTAGACGTTGATTTTTGAGGAGGGAGGAAATCCAGAGAACTTGGAGAAACCCCTCAGGAGAGAACCGTCAAGCAGTCCTACTCACATATGATGGTGAATCCAGGGATCAAATCCCTGAGCACAGCAGTAAGAGGCGCCACACTCTCATAGTATATAGACATGTGTGCCGTTTCATATTTCTATTATGTGTTTTGTTATGTATTATATTGCACTGTTGTCTAATGTGTTGCACTTTCATTGCACCAGCACAATCTCAATCAATGGCATCAAGCCAAACTAAACAAATCAATAAACAAAACACTCGACCAGAGGACAAACCAGAAACCAAAGAAGAACCAGTAGAGTCCAGTTCTTGTATCCAATCAAAAATGGACCAGTCACGTGGTATGTTAATGATTATAAACCATCATCATCGCCGCCATGTTGGTGGTATGGTTTTTGGCGGAAAGATTTCTCTTCGGCTGTCTTTGTTAGCACCATCAACATGGCTACTGTAACCTAGTAGTGATTCCAAACATACAGTAGCTGTCTTTCATCATAACTATCTTTCCTCTTCTACATCGCAATCACTGTCTTCAAAACCATCATATTTTATCATTATTATTGGTGATTTGATTTTTCCCTTGTTATTGTCATTGTCACGCTTATCATTATGATTGTCACGCATATCATTATGATTGTCACGCACATCACTATGATTGTCACGCATATCACTATGATTGTCACGCTTATCACTATGATTGTCACGCTTATCACTATGATTGTCACGCTTATCACTATGATTGTCACGCTTATCATAATATTGTCTCACATATCATTATAATTGTCACTCTTATCAATATGATTGTCATCATTTGCTTTTACATTGTGTTCATTTTGTTAATTAATCCAAAGAGCAAGTCTTAAGCGAAACAGACTCAGATTCTGATAACGAATTGGTCGTGTTTGGTAAGGCAGCGGCAAGGAAAGAGACTAAAGAGTCAAGAAAAGACAAACGAGATAAATACCACCTCAAGCTTCCAGAGCAGCAAGAAGAGAAAGACAAAAGTGGTTTATCCAATGAAATCACTGAAAGTGCCTTAACCAATGAGAAGCCATCAATTGCTTTGCCCAATAAGATTGCAGAAAGTTCTTTAACCAATGAGAAGTCATCTATCACTTTATCCAATGAAATGGCTGAAAAATCTTTAACCAATGGGAAGCCATCTATCACTTTATCCAATGAAATGGCTGAAAGTTCTTCGACCAATGACAAGCCATTGATTCCTTCAACCAATGACAACATGTCAAAAACTTCAGGTGCATTAGCCAGAAAAAACACACCAACTTTATCGTTAGCCAATAGGAATCAACCAAACGCACCAGGATTAATAAGAAACAAATTCTTTAGTGGAATCGGCTTTTCCAAGACAGATAAAAATACATCAAAACAGAAAATTCCGGAAAGTAAACTCCTTGATAATAATAATAGTAATAAAGAAAACATTAATGAAACGACAAAGAAGAAAAGTGATGACAATTTAGAGGGAGTATCTCTGAACGATACTATGTCACATGATCAGACTACCTCACCTGATCATACAACATCGCTTGACTCTAGGCTATCAAATGGCCATATGATAGCACATGACATTGATGTGCGGCATGACCATTCATCATCACATGATCTTACCTTATCAAATGTCCAAGGTGAATTAACTGATGAAGAAACAGTCAGAAAAGAAAAACCTGAGAAGGCCACACAGAAGAAAGTCAAGCAACGCGAAGATGATAAGCATAGAAAACCTGACAAGACAGTGCAAGAAAATGGTATAGTGATGATGAGTGTTATGTCAAGGATTGTTACACCCGTCTTCACACAACACATGCACATTTTTCCTTGCCTCCTTGTTCGTCCCATTTTTTTCCTGCTTCTCGTCTATTTTCTCGTTTGCTACTGGTGTTGAGAACAAGACAAGCTTTTTCTTCTCTGATGTTTTCATTTAAATTTCGTATTTTCCTACCTCCTGAACCACTTCCTCGTCTGCCAATAACACTGCTGCTGCTACTAATGGTTGTATATTCTATATTATCTAGTAAAATATTAATGTATAATCTATGAATCCATGATGAATCTTCGTTTATATTTGAATGCTTTATTTATATTATCTTATTCCTAATGAGTGTCTGGAACCATAGATATGTCAGCTTTATGAATATCATGCTTTATTTATTATTAATTCTTATTAATTCATTATTATAAAACAATTGGGATACTACGCGCGCTATGATTGGTCGAAAACCATGTTTGATGAGAGTATCAAAACACGCTATCGTCATTTTTAATCTATCG